CTTTCGAATATGACAAGAATTAATCCTTCATTCTATACGTATCACACTCGTACACGTGATCATCTTTGTATTCCCATAACCCGTTCAATTAACCCGTTCTATTCTACAGGATTACATGAATTAATGGAATTCAATTTGCAACACAACATTTTCTCGTTTTAGAACTCTATTCAAACGATGCATTTTTTTAAAATGTCATCCTTGACTAAGTAGAACCTTTTTTCTCTTTCTCTTTCCCGTCTCTTCTCTTTCTTCTCTTTTTCATTCTGAACTCTCCCTATTTGTTGTATTGCTCGTGTGTGTTTGTGTGTGATTATGGGTAGTGTGTGCATATACATAGGTTATACCTGAGGATAGTTAATGGTAGGTCCTTGTTTTCTTTCTTCCTCTTTAAAGTAATGCTTGCTTTCCATAATTGTATTGAACGAATCCGTTCCACTGGCTGTCTGTCGTAGCAACAAACGGAGTTGACAAAAGACTTAACTCCGTTTCGTTGACGATCAGCCATGCACAAGGAAGACGAAAGACTTGATTCATTCATGATATCTTCAGTAATTTTTGACGGATTTTAATGAAATTTGATATGAAGGTTCATAGTATCAAAACACAGCCAAAGTTCGATTTCGGAGTATGTAGGTCAAAGGTCATAGCTCAGTAAATATGCGAATCTGGTTTCCATTCGATAACTTGAGTAATGTTTGACGAATTTTAATGAAATATAATATGAAGGTACATGGTATCAAAAACATGCACAGTCTAAGTTCGATTTCTGAGTATGTAGGGCAAAGGTGAAAGGTCATAGCTCATGAAATATGCAAAAACACCCAATTATATATGTGAACATGTGGTTAACTTCCTTGCCTAGTAATATAATAGTATAGTCCAATGGAGGTACTTGTTCCGACGTATATAGGCCAATTGTACCCTGCGAGGGGATGCTACGCTTTGCGTTGAGTAGTTTTCTTTAAATTAAGAGACAGTTTATTACTTCTAAATCATTTTGATAATTTTGGTAATTCAGCGTTAATATTTCTTAAAAGGATCTGAAAATCTGAATTGGAACAAAATGCATTGGTGTCATATTCGAATAAAATATACTGTAGTGCATTTGATGAAATATGAATATCCTTTACATATATAAAAAAAAATAACAAAGGGCCGAGGATTGACCCTTGTGACACTCAACACGTTATAGATAATAATTCTGATTCATTTTAATCATAACATTTATATTGTTCTATATTTGTTAAATAATTTTTAACCTTTGTATAGCAACACCCCTCAATCCATAGTATTCCAATTTACGTATAAGTATTGTATGGCTAAGAGTGTAAATTGCCTTGCTCAGATCCATGAATACTCCAATAACATGCTTATGATCAGCTAAGGCATTTCACACTCTATCAAATAATTTATTGTAACAATGCTATCTCCGTTGAATGAAATTTTCTAAAACCATATTGATTTTCATACAACAGTTCGTTTTTTGTTAGCAAATCATACAGTCCATTATACATCATTCTTTTTAGGACTTTAAAAATACTTTGTAAGATAGAAACAGGTCGGTAATTTGAAACTAGAGAAGAGTCGTCTTTTTTGTATATTGGAATCACTTTTGCTGATTTCAGTGATAAATTACAAATATATACTAGAGGCGTTACAATACTTTCTGCTAATTGTTTTAAAAAGTGCGTACTCATCGCATCCTGACTACAAGAATAACTTATTTTCAATTAATTGACAATATTCAAAATTTCAACACAGTTTATAGGCATAAAGAAAAACGATTTATCACATGGATTTGAAAGGAATTGTAAATAATCTGAACTATTGGAATTTATTTTTGATACCTGAATAGGGCCTACATTTACGAAATAGCCTACTTATTAAACAATCTGCTATATCTTTAGAGTCTGAAATTTTCTGACCATCATTGTTAATATTAATTGTTGATCTTTTGGTATTTTGCTTTCGAAGAGTTTCTTTTATGACTTTCCAGGTAGATGCCCTATTGCCGTTAGCATTTTCAAATTATTTTACATAGGCCTAGTACATTTTACGAATTCTTGTTGTTAATTTATTCCTATAACATTTATATTCGTATTTATTCTCGTTACTTGGATGTCGGAGACTACGTTTGCACAATATATTTCGTTTCTTAATCGAACGAAAAAATCCCTTCGTTTTCCATGGATGTTGTGGTTTTCTTTTTTTTAATATTTTGTTTAGTCTTTGGAATACATCTATCAAAGTGGGCTTAAAATATTTTCCAAAATAGTCCATATGCAATATCACTTTCACTACAAGATAGTTAAATCATTCCATGTTTCCATCATCAAATCATTATTTAAAGATAATATATTTTCCGTTTTAAATTCATGAGACATTGATATTTCATTTTGTTTTTTACGAGACATGAGATCAATATTACAAATAAGAAATATAGGAATGTGATCAGATATTTCACTGCAAACTAGACCAGCATTCATATATTCAGTAACAACATTCGTAGAAATATTGTCTATTAAAGTTGATGTGCTCTGCGTAATTCTTGTAGGTTTATCAATGGCTCTAATGAAAGAATTCGCTTGTAAAATATTCACACAAATATTATAATAATTATTATCCGAGTTCAACAGGTCTATATTAAAATCACCCATCAAGTATACATCTTACTAGTCTTATTTTATACGACAACAAATTAGATATATACATTGCAACTCCACTACCTCTTCCAGATTGTCTATCAGAGCGTATAAGTGAATAATCATTGATGTTATATATAAGTGGTAAGTTGTCACTCAAGCAAGTTTCAGTAACACATATTACTGAAAAGTGTAATGTAAGAGAATAAGGGAATAAATAATATATCATTTTTAAAACAATCTTTACATTAAGAAAATACCACTAAGCCAAAGCTGCATTTTTCTTCTTCTTCTTCCTGCATTACTCTATATTTATTATTATTCAAAGGTCCGTTACTTCACGTAAATTGCAACTAATCAATTCAATCGCATTTTAAACTATCTCACAGGGTATGATCGATGTAGGCCGATTCAAAGAATAAACGTTTCGTTTTCATTGTAGCCTTTTAATGATAAACCATTCATTGTTTGATCTGCATTATATTTCTGCATTACTATATAAGGAAATAAATAGTACATCGTTTTTTTTTTTGGAGCTTGGAGCTTTAATGAGCACAATTTTGTTTTTGCTTAGAGGGGGGGGGGGGGGGGAGTAGTGACCACTGTTTTGTTTTCTTTATTTTTGGCCAGGGATGGGGCCCATGCCCCCTGGCCCCTATAAAAACCAATGCTATGCATCTATTGAGGGGGGGGGGTAAGAACACCTTTTTTTGCCTCCTTGAGCACAAATTATTAATATGTATATATATTTTTTTTACATTAAAACAATATGAGGAGCGGTTTACCCCCCCCCCCCCCCCCCCCCGCGTACGCGCCTGCATGAATCAGCGGATGGAATTAGGTTCTTCCAAATAAACGTGCTTGCCGCTCAAGATCGCGATCGCGAATGCATATAGCTCGGCAGTATTCACCCAACATTAAAGTGAGGTAAAGTGCGATTTTGCACGATATGCATTTTCACTCTGTTTGCAGAAGATAATATCGTCATGGCATTTTTTTTTCAAAGCTTATCTGCCATAGTTTACAGGAGGGATTAGAGCGCCCTGCAAGGTCACTAGACAGGTGGCTATCTCATCAACTCAGCTCTCAATTAACATAAGAAAAAGAGGATCATGGGGGACCAATGGTCACCGATTAGGCAATGTTTGTTATATAGAGGGCGCAAGTAGCTACAAGTAGTGCAGTGGGCCTTTAAACACTTTTCCAGTAATTTTTGATAAAAACAAAACAAAACAAAACAACTAAAATCATCGATATTATTCATTTTTATTCAATCATTTCCCCCAAATAATATAAAATTGAAGTTCATTAATATAAGTTTGTGTTGTAAGGTTTCATGATAATACATAACTGAGTAAACCCGTTTTAGGAGTCAGCTGAAAGGGCGCCATCCGTGTATCAGTTACTTGTAGTTTCGAGGAAGGATATGATTATTTAGATTCAATAATGTAAATTCATGTCAGTTTCTATTTGTACCGGTATAGTGGGGCAGGCAGACCGTCTGTTGGGATTTTGTTTCCTTTTCGTGGAAAATCATCATTTCTTGATATCCCTTCCATCCTCCCCAATATACTTGCTCAAGTTGCTCATATCATTTACCATTTTACAAAGGTTTATAACCCCATCATCTGATTCCAGAATATACAACGTGATCTCAATGACTTTTGAGCAGGGGCGGTTCTACCGTTATAGAGAGGGTGGGTTTTCAAACCGACCCCTAATTTCTCACCTCGTCAATTTTCTCGATTATAAATGACAAATAATCCAGGCACGTGTAGAAAATCAATGTAAGAACTCCAGAGTTGGCACCAACCCCACCCCCAAGGGAAATAAAACCTTTGAGAAACCAACTTAGAGCAATGCCGAGGACTGTTGTTTACATAAATCATTTTCGGAACACGTGATATGTCTGCATCAGGTTCGTAAATTGAAAAGGTGACGTAAACGAGCCTGTTATGAATACCTTGGGCATACTGATTTTTTTCTCGAAAGACTTGGCGATTGTACATAGATATGAGTACCATCTCCATGCCTTCCATGGGGGAGTAGGCGTATATTCTAATCATATCGGCACTTCATTGCCACCGACTAATTCTATTGAATTTGATGGAATTATATAAATAGACTTTGGACGAAAGGAGGCTTTGAATAAATTCACTGAGACTCCGATATATCCTGAAACAGGCGATACGACAGGAGTGCTGCCTTTGGTAACTCAGATAGCTACCCCCCCCCCCCCACCCTCGCCCCGCCCCTTCGCGGTCCGTAAGAATCTGCCCCACCTTCAGAGTTTGAACAACAGAACGGAAGCTCAAGCCGTGCTCGTGGCGACACCTTTTTTTTCAATGTATGAGTTTATGCGACCATATAACTATGTTACAAATCAAATGATGTGTGACGATGTATATACATGGAAAAAAAATGAACATCAAACTCAAACACGTCCCTGCTGGATACGTTTATGTGGGTCATGAAAGCAACTGAGAGCAAAACATCTGATTGTTGGGTTTTGTTTTATTTATTTATAAGTTCAAATTCATTTATCCATTTATTTATTTATTTATTTCATTAATTTATTCATTTATTGGCTTGCCAGTTGATTTTTCCAAGCAATTTCACGTTTCGACCCTGGCTTGAAGAAAAATATAAACAATCTTCCAATTAGAAACCAGGAGTATTATAATAATGAATATAGATCGAGTGATAGAAAAACAACATTGACCTTTAATGTCTGTATATTTCGCCAATTCCAAATTATGCATAGTACCTTGCTTTGTATGGGGCCAACACACAGATTCCGGAATTGAACTAATCGTAACCTAATATTGCTAAACAAAATTTAAAAGTGAAGAAAGCGAATTGATACTTTGTGAAAGAGACAACATTAAGTGCTCTGTCATAAAAGAGATGGCTTCAATGGTATACTGTAGTTTCGATCTCCAAATCAATTCTTGTTACAACTCAGTTTTAGATTTTAACACTCGGAGTGTGTCTTTTGCTTTGTCATCTCTTTCATTCAATGAAACCAAAAGGTCTCGTAATAATAATAATCATTTCCTTTAAATTTACAGTACTTTTCAGAAGAGAAAAAAATAGGATAATATCATTATCTCCATTCTAAACAGTATAGGTTATAATCATGACTTACAGGTCAACTGTCTATCCATAAAGTTTGATGATAATGATGGTGATTGATGATTGCTTTACCCGAATACTGTGTATGCTTGTTAGTAAGCAACCAGGGGACCGACGGCTTAAAGTCCTCCCTGAGGAACTTGGTAATGAAGATTAATCCCTTACCAAATGGCACAAGCACACCGATTTGGATTCGAACCCGGGACCTCCCGGTTGCGAGACAACTGCTCTACCACTGAGCCACCGCGCCTCCTTACATTTCTTGTGTAATAATAATCCTGTATTGGATGGATCCCAGAGTTCTTAAGTCTAAAACGGGTCAAACTTCTTTAAAAACGTAACTTAGGTTTAAAATAAAACATGTATTCTAATGTTGAGCACAGTAACCGTAAACTAGAAGAAAGAAATATAATTGATCGTGATAGCATTTAATATTGAGTGCAAGCGGAAAAATTAATTGAAATAGATGGTTTATACGTGATAAATATGAATTAATAAATCGAAGACTGGATTACTCTTATACTCTTGATTATAAATTCATTTAATCATATTATTTAGACGATTAAAACATATACGAAGCTAGATTTAATCAACATTACATTTTTGTCATCACAATCATAATTACGACCATTTCGACAATTGACGGTTCCATATCTATTTTAGTGATATGAGCTTTCAAATATTCAAATTTCATTCGGCGTCTCATGATAATAACACTTCAGAAAACACAACTCTCTAACTATCGTGCATGGTTTATCATTACTTCTCTTGTGATACAAATTAAATGTGAAAGCTACGTTTCCTATTGGCGTTTTTTTCCTCCTTCTTTTTTAACAGACAATAAACACATTTATTTATATTTTCGGCGGCTTTCCGCTCCATATCTGAACAAGCTTTAATTAAAATATTGTGCCCTTCGCCGAGTTTCCACGGCGAACATGTTATACTTTTTATGGAGAAAAAAAATCATGCTTCTCCGGAGTTGCATCTAATCATTGTATTTAATCCAATCGACCAACGTCTGAACATGTCACGATAACGGGCTGCAATTCGTCTATTCATGAACGTGTAGATTAGAGGATCGAATAGGGAGTTGGAGTAACCTAGCCACACCGTGGCCACGCCCATCCAATGGGGGATTTTGATGGATAGGAGACAAGAGTTAACGATGCAGTACGGTGACCAACAGACCAAAATTGTTAGCACCAGTAGAGTTCCTAAAAAGAAAGACAAAAAACAGACGCTGTTGGAAGAAAGAGTTGGATGAATATCATATCAAACACATCGACGAGGAACTGAAGTAAAATGGTAACATTATAATATATATTCTGTCTTGTTAAAGCCTGGCATTTTATGTCAAACATTGTCTTGTGGTAAGACAGTCAAATTGACATTACGATTTTCACAAAATTAAAAATTTCTCCAAACTGTATTACTGAGATTCCAACGCAGGAAGTACTTACCCGTCAGGGCAACTCTTTTTTCAAGGTTGAGTTTCTTCTGCATTGACCTACGATCTTTTTTCTCGATTCCTTTCATCACATTTTCCTGTTCAATAGTCTTTTTCTCCTCGTTTTCTCCTTCAGCATGTTCAGCGTCAGGTTCCTCAGTGTTTGCAGACTGGGCGTAGTCCATAAGCTCTGGGGTAAGATTCGAGCAGGTACGTCCTTTAATCGGGTGGTCAATGACCTCCATTGGCATGTCATCTTCAGCATAGGTCACACGGTCATGGTCGTGGTAGTCATCGTCGTTGTCTTTAACGGAACATACGTTGCTCACGACACTAGGTTTTGCGTCGGCGTAGGACCTAAGCAACCGTTGTTGACGCAACACTTTTAGGAACACACCAGCATAGCATAAAACCATCGTAGGTACGATGACTAGAAAGATGATGACGTTCACGGTGGTGGCATAGAAGCAGTCCTCCGGATACTCTGGCGAGCAGCTGTGGGAAATTGTCTTATACCTGATCGAAGAGACGCTTCTGAATAAGAAGGGTATAAAGGAGGATCCAATGGCGGCGACCCAACAGAAGACGATAAAGACGATGGATCTTGATTTGGAAGGAGGGAAGCGGGCCGACCAGACTACGACCAAGTAGCGATCCACGGAGATTGCCAAGACTGTGACAAAGTTCCCTAAGGCAAAAAGAACGTTACCTTGAATCTGCACACAATGATAAATGAGAATTAATTAAATATTTCATTTCCAGTAGAACGATCGAGTGATACTTTTTTTTTTTGAGTAGGAGAGGAGTCATATTAGATTTGTGATTTGGTATGCGAAATACCAATTATGAAACTAAATAGATTTACAAAACAATTACATGTTCTTTTCATTAGAAGTATAAAGTTCCTTTAATATCCCAAATCGAAATATATTAAAATCGTATATGAGAAAGGTGGCGAAAAATGCAAAATAGAAAAAGACTTACAAAACACACAGCTTTGTTGTGAAGGAGAAAATAGCCTTGGTCGAACACAGATACTACGAGCAATGATATGTTCATGATTGTAAAGCCAAGATCGTTTATGATGAGGTTCAGGATCAGCCAGTTATGGAGGTTCCTTCTCAGAACCTTGTCTCGAAGAATCGTTACCATCGCAATCAGATTGGCGACCAACGCTCCGAGGAAGATAACGACAATAGTGATCCCTTCGATGACGGCCACCACTGACGTCGACTCGTGGTAGATCGTGACACCATCAGGTCGATCGTACGGGGTTGGGGAGGTATGCTGGCTCGACATCGTATCACGAGAATTCGTTTTGAGAGACTGGTCTTTACAATGACGGATAGCAATGACCGCTTATAATTCAAATTATAATAGGTGAAGATCAGCGAATCTGGACAGCTTGAAAACAGTCATAGATTTATATTAAAGAAAAAAATCCGTTACTTGAAATTGAAACCAATCAATTCAATCGCATTTCTAACTTTCTCCCTTTACGTACAGGATATGATGTAGGCCGAGTCAAAGAATAAACGTTTCGTTTTCATTTTTAGCTTTTTTTATTGATAAAGCATTTATTGTTTGATCGGTATTAAAGGGCTGCCTCAAGGAAAATATCTAGTTAGGATTTGTCATGATCACTTAGCCAAAGCTGTATTTTTACTTTCTATTTACCCTTCCACGGGGTCCTTTTAATAATTCTCAACATAATCATTTTCACAAAAAGATCGATACAATTCATGCACTATTCCATGACTTGTCATATAAATATTCAAACAATAGAATATTAGGATATAATCTCGCACAGGGACATGAAGGATGTTTAACTTGACAAAATAAAATGTGTACACCAATTCTTTAACATAAAGACATAAAAACATTTAAAAAAATAAAAACATTCGGTAAAATGTAACCATTTTTTCGCAAAATTATTTTCTTTAAGATTTGTTTTAGATATATATCTTTCCATATTACAGTGGCGGATCCAGGGGTGGGCCGAAACGGCCGCGGCCCCCCCTATTGGCGTAGCAAAAAAAATTGAGAAGGAAAAAAGAGAAAGAAAGAAAGAAGGAAAAAAAGGGGGGAAAAGGAGAAGATAAAAGAAAAGAGAACAAAAAAGTAAAGAAAAGAAAGAGAGAGTTAAAAAAAGAGGAAAGAAAAAGAAGAGAGGAGCCGGGGAGAAAGAAAGACAACGAAATGGCACTAAAAATTAGTGACAATGGCAGTAACGACGAATAAGGGAAAGACAAAGGGAAGGGGGTGCGTGAAGGCGGATGCATTGAGGAGAGGGGGGGGGGGGGGGAAGGGGTGACTGGCCGTATTCTTATTTATAGGTTATGCGAAACTGAGTCGAAATTATGCTTCTTTTCAAAACAATCTTAGCATGCTTGTTTATGTTAAGCCGGAGTGCATGAAAAGGTTAGTGTAGAAACACTTCTGAAAAGGCCGCGCCCGGCCCCTCCAAAGAACGGCAGAATGGTAATCTATAAATTATGGGGTCATTCTTGATGGCTTTGGAGTCGTTATTAAGGAGGGGGCCGGCCCTACTCAAATGGTAGTGACTGTAACGATGGATAAGGGAATAAGGAGGAAGGGATGCACATGCAGGCGCGTATACGCAGGGGTGGAGGGGGGAGGGGGAGGGGGGAGGGGGGTCGAACCCCCCTCAAATTTTTGTCAAGTTGGTCCTGATGTGTATAATGCGTAGACTAGGGGTTCTCAAACTTTTTCTTTGACGGTCCAGAAGCGATTTCTATGAAAGCTGTAAGGTCCGAAATGACACTTGTATACTGAAGATAATGAGGCTTGTTTTTGGTCTATATCTGATCCAAGGAGAATTGTTACAGTTTAAAAAAACAGAACCGCCAGTGCTTCCACTCGTTTAAATAGAGTTTCCTGAAAAAGAACACCCAATATCCTGGAATTTGAAAGAATTTTCTTAAAACTTTCAAAATGCCTCTTACTTGGATTTCTTATTTGGATGAATCGCTATGACCAGCGCTCAAAATACACGGGGGCGGTGGGCGATTCGCCCCCGTGAGCTACATAATCGCCCCCGTCAGGTTGCTCACGGGGGCGATTGCAAAATTAAAAATCGCCCCCGTGGAATTATAATATAAAGATTTTCTTTTCTGGTATAACTTTAACACGATATTGAGTTTCAATTTTCAAATGAAATGGAACTTAGATTAGCGTGCAAGATTTCTTGTTTTATGAGTAGGCCTATTATTACCGATTCAGCTCACAGTGCAGTGCCGCCGTCAGCAGTGGTTATAGGCCTACTGCGCCCTTAGTAGCGGTACGTGTGCACGCTGCCGCGCTATGTCTGCTGGAGCTGGAGGCGATCGCGCAAGGGCAGAAACATGGTCATGGAGAAGTTTTTCGTTGTGAAAGCGTTAACCCGCTGAAATCTGGTGATTTCAAATGACTAGCAAATAATGAACCTCGACCAGTAAATCAATATTAGGGACCTTTAGATTTGCACGATGGGAACGTGGACTGAAACGTGTGACCTCCTTTTAAGGCAGTGCCAGTGCTTAAAAGGACGTGACATGTGACTGCCAGTGCCTTAAAAGGACGTAACACGTCCACGTCCACGCAAATCTAAAAGTCCCTATTGAGAAGAAGAGGAAGACCAAGATGTCGTGGAATGATATGGTAACATGGGCAGATCTACGGGGGGGGGGTTAGGGGTTTAACCCCCTCCTCCCACCCCCGGCCCCCTTGGGCTGCCAAGTGAAAATGTGATATTAAAGCGGGGGGGGGTGCTGGAGAGGAGGACTACTAATCTATTTTATTTTTTTCATGGGGGGGGGGAGTGAAGCGCCGTTTTAGCATGACTTTCTTTTTAACTCTTACTTTCACCTATCTCAGATAACCCTAAGTTTTTGGTTGCTGCTTTATATGTAGTTGATAATGCATGATTAAAGTAAAGAGAGAGAGAGAGAACCACCATCATTTTGCAATGGTTCAGGGTTCGTGTAATGTACATTTGAAACCATTTCTTAGCGTCTCAACCCTAACAAAATGGCAAAACTATTTTTGAGGAAAAGCATTATACTGAATTAAATAAAGAATAATAGCTTTATATTGCATGATACTAATACTGATACGGGCTAAAGACAATGTGGTATTTGTTTAGAGGTATTCCAAAATGACATTCTGATAATCAACATTTGTTCTGGTATCATAATGTATATACGCATAATACAACTGATCTTTATGATTTCTTAACGTGACATAGCTTCTTTTCCCCCTGCAAACAAAAAAGAAAACAAGGTTATTTAATAAAAGGATCATGCGACAAATAATCATTGTGATTCAAATTGATGCAAGGATTTTTTTTGAATAAGCAATGCTTTTCACCAGAATCTTCTTTGTAAAAACGACTTTTACAAATCTCAGCCATGCAAATCTGCCACTGTGTTGTAAGATCACTTTCAGATTAGGAGAAGTGTATTCTTTAATGAGTATTTTACATTGAATGGAACGTCTCAACTCAGTAAGCATGACTGTGATTTGTAAAAGTTGTTTTTACAAAGAAGATTCGGGTGAATAGCAGTGCTTATTCAAACAAATATTCGCATCAATTTGAATCACAATCATTATTTGTCGCTTAATCCCTTTTAATGACCTTGTTTTCTTTCTCGTTTGCAAGGGGAGAAGAAGATATGTCACGTTAAAGACATCATAAAGATCAGTGTTGTATGCGTATATATTATATACACAGGCCAGTAACAGCTATGTAGCTTGTAAATTTGTAAGAGGGAAAATGCTGATTGGAATGATAATGATGAAATAGCAAATAATTGAGGAGTATCATAGGTACCAATTCAATGGATATTTGTATAAAAAAGAGCCCCCGTCAGTACTAAAAGAGCCCCCGTGAGAAGGCTCACGGGGGCTCTTTTTTTTTGGGGGGGGAAGAGCCCCCGTGGACAAAAAATTAATTTGATCCCTGGCTATGACGTTTTAATATAATTTATATCAATTATTGAGTGGGCTTATTTTGCTTTCTAATGGATCCATACAACATGGCAGAGCTTGAGGGGTCTGGCAGAGCCTTTTCAAGAGAGAAATTGTCTTTAGGAGAAAAAAGAGGTTATTTCTAAAATGAAATGAAAGGGTTATTGACTTTCAAGAGAGAAAATTGTCTATAATGCTATGGTCACATTACCCAAAAGTAGACTGCTCGGCGGCCGAGCGGCGAGTTTTTAGCCAATTCTGCCCGGCGCCTGCCCGGCCACCGAGCGGCGACCGCCCAGACACCGATCGTTTTTAGGGCATCGCTCGGTCGCCGCTGAAGTTTTAGCGCGGAGTTAAAATTTGGGCGGCGCCTGCTCACTTTTCACTCGCCGCCCAAAATACGCTCGGTGCCTAGGCGGTCGCCGCCCGGGCACCGACCTAATCGCTGGGCGATGCCTAATTCAAGCAGCGACCGAGCAGGCTACTGATCGTCGGTCGCTGCTCTGATTTGTGACAGCGACCGACCGATCAGTAGCCTGCTCGGTCGCTGCTGGAATTAGGCATCGCCCAGCGATTAGTTCGGTGCCCGGGCGGCGACCGCCCAGGCACCGAGCGTATTTTGGGCGGCGGGTGAAAAGTGGGCAGGCGCCGCCCAAATTTTAACTCCGCGCTAAAACTTCAGCGGCGACCGAGCGATGCCCTAACAACGAGCGGTGACTGGCCGGTCCCCGCTCGGTGGCCGGCCGGTCGCCGCTCGGTGGCCGGGCAGCCGCCGGGCAGAATTGGTTAAAAACTCGCCGCTCGGCCGCCGAGCAGGCTACTTTTGGGTAATGTGACCATAGCATAAGAGAGGAAGAGAGGTTATTTCTAAAATGAAATGAAAGGGCTCTTGTCAAATAGCCCTTTCATTTCATTTTTTCTCTCGAAATAAACTCTCTTTCTCTCTTATAGACGATTTTATGAGATGGAATCTTCAATCTGAAGCCTTTTTGTGCTCTTTGAAAATGGCACACTGAATGGGGGCAGTGCAATTTAAATTTCAAGGGATGGATTAGAGTTTTTATTGAGAGTCAAATAGCCCTTTCATTTCATTTTAGAAATAAACTCTAATACATTCCTTGATATTTAAATTGCGCCGCCCCTATTGTGTCATCTTTTTAAAGAGCACAACAGAGCCCTCAGATTAGGCAGCAAGTAGCAAAACAAACCCGTAACACTGGACACAACATTCAATGGGATGATGCCCATATCATTGAGTTTGAAACGCACTTCTGGTCAAGAATGGTAGAAGAAGCATCTGCATAAAAAGGATGAATCCTTCACTAAATAGGGATTCTTGCTATACACTTTTACCTTTGTGTAACTAATAAAAGGTCCACGGGCGTGGTTGTTAGAAGCTTAAACTACATAAAACTCTCTCCAATTTTGCAGGGGGAGAGCCTTTGTCGGGAGTCTTTAATAATAAAAGGGATAAATCCTTCACTGAATAGGGATTCTTGCTATATGTTACCTTTCTTCGCTCCAGTGATCTCGAGGCAGCAGACAGCAAGAAATTGTGTAAATAATTTGCTGTTGCCGAGAGTCTTGCATGGGGCGGAGCCCCAGGAAGTTCTTGAACTTTAAAAAAAATTAGGAAATTCCAAATAGTCGTCATGAGCGATAGAAATTGTAATTTCCTCCTTGAAAGTCACATAACCCCTTTCATTTCATTTTAGAATTTAACCTCTCTTTCTCTCTTAAAGACAATTTCATATAACTTCTGTTTTC